TGTGTGTGTGTGTACAGTCACCCTCTGTGTCTGCACATGTGTGTGTGTGTGTGTACAGTCACCCTGTGTGTCTGCACATGTGTGTGTGTGTGTACAGTCACCCTCTGTGTTTGCACATGTGTGTGTACAGTCACCCTGTGTGTCTGCACATGTGTGTGTGTGTATAGTCACCCTGTGTGTCTGCACATGTGTGTGTATGTACAGTCACTCTCTGTGTCTGCACATGTGTGTGTACAGTCACCCTGTGTGTCTGCACATGTGTGTGTGTGTGTGTGTGTGTGTGTGTAAGTCACCCTCTGTGTCTGCACATGTGTGTGTGTGTGTGTGTGTGTGTACAGTCACCCTCTGTGTCTGTACATGTGTGTGTACAGTCACCCTGTGTGTCTGCACATGTGTGTGTACAGTCACCCTGTGTGTCTGCACATGTGTGTGTACAGTCACCCTGTGTGTCTGCACATGTGTGTGTACAGTCACCCTCTGTGTCTGAACATGTGTGTGTACAGTCACCTCTGTGTCTGCACATGTGTGTGTACAGTCACCCTCTGTGTCTGAACATGTGACTGTGTGGCCTCTTTGTATGTGTGTGGACGTCTTTGCTGACCATCAGCTTCTTCATTAAAAACCTTACCTTGTAGTTTTGGTTACTCCGTATAAATAGATGAATAACTGAACAATGGTTCATTACTTTGAGTTTTTATTTTATGAATGGATGTAAACCCCCTTTAGTTGTAGGATTACATACATGGTCTTGGTCATTTTGTCTTTCATGATAAGCTCTTGTAAACCTAATTTGAGTACCTGATATAATTGAGACACTGTTTTTCTTTTAAGCATGAGGAAGTGCTTAAAAAACAGTTAATAAAAATGAGGACTTTTTAGTCATTGAGGATTTATTAGGAATTTCAATACATATTGATCTATTTAAACCTCACAAAAACTTAGGAGGTAAGCATTCCTACTTGGAAATTGAGATATGGAGTTTTAACTTCTCACCAATTTTGTATAGTCAGATGATGGTTTGATGAAGAAGAGCAAAGAAATTCCTTTAGAAAGAGATTTTCAGTGGCTACAAATGTAAAACCTTCTACCTCTGCACTATTGTCCTGTTACTGATGAAATGTTTATGTGAACCTCACATTTCCAATAAAAGATACAGCTGGTCCTCTGTTAGCGATGGATGCTGAAGAGCTGCCTGTTTCCAGTGAGTAAACTGACGAGCCCTGGAGGGCAGAGAGAAGGAAGGGTGGCAGGCCTTCCTTGCTTTCACCTCCAGAAACAATTAAAGAGAAAGAATTATGCTATTTCTAGTGTGTCCAGTTAGTTCAGTCCTGCAGACGTATACCAGAGATGCCCATTTTGTACAGCTCTGTCCTGCTAGGTGCTTTTGACTTTAAAGGTAAGTGGGTGGGGATTAGAAAGATGGCTCAGAGGTGTACTGCTCTTACAGAGATTTCAGATTTGGTACGAGCACTTGCATTGGATGGCTCATAAGCGCCTGTAACTCCAGCCCTGGGGGATCTGACACCCCCTTCTGGCCTCCATGAACACCTTCATTCAAGTGCGTACCTCCGCATCCCCACCATACACACACAGCACATAAATAAAAATAAAATCATAAAGATTAAATGTACTGCTATTTATATACTAGTAAACAATCAAGTGAAGCTCTTAAAATTAGGAGAACGCAGAGACAGCAGGTCCATGATCTTGAGCTACAAAAAATCCTTCCTGAAAAGTGTTTCCAAGGCTACATTAAGTCAGCATAGAGTCATAAGTTAGGTAACTATGTGCAGCAGAGAGGCTTGATGGCCGCGGAGACCTACAGTGAGGACTGAGTTCAGGTGATTGTGGATGCGATATGGAGCTGTCTTCAGGGGTCCCTCTCTGACGGCCACCTTTACTTTCATCAGGTCTTGGTGTTTGGTATGCTAAGAAACTCCTTTTGGAAGCTGCTTCTAGAGTTAAATAGGCCCAAAGACAAGGACTCTTGTATCTCTGAAGGTAGTTATTGGAACCAGATGGACTGTTTATTCTTTATCTGTTGTTCAGTGTGTAGAAGGCCTCTCTCCCATACATCCTTTTCCCCACAGAACACCTATGTGTCCAAGTGGTGGTGCTTGGTGAGAATGAACGAACTCAAAGAAGAGCAGCTGTCAGCCTTCTGTGCTCAGGGCCGGGCTCTTGGCCCTGTTAACCTGTTAACTAAGAAACCGATGGTGATATATTCTTGCTTTTTGTGCTATACCCTATTCTAATTTCCCAATAAATCTGTTTCTCCCTTCTGCTAAGAAACTTTTTTCTCTCCATTCCAGGCATGATCCAGTCTTACCTTCAAACATAATTTTACACTGAATCTGAAAGATCCCTTCTTATGCCAAGATTAGCCATTAAGAAAAGACAAAGTATTGAAAGAGAGACTAGGGAAGATAATACCTGTCTCTGAAAATCTTGCTGGGTTTAAATGCAAAACTCCAGTTTTTAAAATAGTGAGGCATTCTTTTATATTGCTTAGTTATACAGGCCGATTGAAGTATTAGACATTTTGATCATTAGATCATTCCAGGCATAAACATTTCTCAGAACTAATTGTAGCAACACCCAGTAACTGTGTGACTTTCACATTCCTGAAAGAATGGTTATCTGCTAGCTAGCTGAAGCTGTATGTTGTATTGTATTCCTCTGTAGCATTGGTCTTGTTGGTCCTCCCTAGTGCCGCTAAAAGGGTCGAGTATTTTCATTATGCTTAAAAAAAATCCCACCTTGTAAAACAAAACAGAGTAGGCTAGGTTTAGCAGTTTGCATGGTTTGCATTTTCCTGTAGTGACAGAGTCTGTCTTGAGCATCCGGCCTGCCTATAAGTGGTGAGGTCGGACTGACTCCTGCTTGCTCCTCCCAGAGTGAGAGCTCACGGCTCCCGTGTGCAGCTGCAGACTTCTGCTGTTTGTGTTAACAGTGTTCTGGATGCAGAGGTAGAGAGTGGTGAGCACTTGTCATTCTAGAGAACACAGTGGCTTGATTTGGGCAGCCTCCCAACTCCTCTTTATAACAGAGTAAACATCTCATCCTCTAAGAGAGCAGCTATCTACTCCTGGTGGTTTAAAGAGGAATACTGTCTATTTCCTGAAGTGTGTTCTAGAAAGTTGTCTGACTCCTTCAAACGGTTTCTATATATGAAAGCTGAATTTGGGGTCTTTAAAGTTGATTCTCTTCAGGACCACAAGTAAATTACTCAGTATAGATTCTGTGCAGTAAAAGTTGTCCCCAGGATTAATGGTGACAGTAGACAGACCCTGCCTTCCTGTCCTCACATAGCTTTCAGGCGTAAAGGTGTTGTCAGTGGCTGTATTTCAGGCATTCACATGCCTTTAAAGAAAGTTCTCAACATGTGGGTCATGATCCCTTTCCCAGGAGTCACATATCCAATATCCTCTATATCAGATATTTATATTATGATTCATAACAGTAGCAAAATTACAGTTCTGAAGTAGCAACAAAAATAATTTCATGGTTAGGGTCCCCACAACATGAGGAACTGCATTAAAGGGTCACAGCATTAGGGAGGTTAAGAACCACGGCTCTAGAGCTAGCATGTGGTGAGTGCTCGCTCTCTCTTTCCCTCTGCAGTCTCATGTTACGTCTCCACCCTCAGACATTATTAAAATGACCTTACCCACTTCCTTTATAGATGTGAACCTCAAGTCCAGCTTTCCTCTAAATTCTTACGAAATGTTCTTATATATTTGTAGGCTGTGTTTGTGTTTAGAATAAATAATTGTTTTGAGAGGAAGTTATATAACACAATAAAAAGAAGCTTATTTTCAACAGGATTTTCAAATACCATCAATTTCAAGGCATAATAAAAAAGGTTGATGTATATAGAACATGTAGTAAATCTGCCCTCTTTTTGTAAATCTTCAGGAAACTGTAAATGAACTGTTTGTTCCTAGTCTCCTAGACCCAGATTTACTTCTCCTTTCTAGAGGCTAGCTTGCTCGTTCATCATATCTGACAGTTTGTCATCACCGGTGCTCATCTAGCATGCCTAAATGTAAAGGGCTGTGGACTAGCACCACTAAAGGAAGTTCTGTATTTCTATGAGTAGTTCTGATTAATATTGTTATTCTCCACTGTCTGCCGTCATGTGAGCAAGTTAGTAAGGTCAAGGCAAGGGAGAAGGCAAAAATTTAATGTTTTTGCACATTTGAAGAATATTTCCTTTGTATTGCTTTAAAGTGTGCTTACACTCTTAATTTTTACCTAAATATAAGGTTGTACAATTTATTTGTTGGGTATTTGGATATCGTAACAGTTTGTCAGTATAGTTGATAGGTCCACTGTTATTACAGATCGCATCAGCATTTTCAGAAACTGTCTTCGGCTGAAGTGCTTTCTTTCTGTACCTGCATTACATCCTTGTTCAGACACCCAGAAGAGAGTGTATTGCTGTAAAGATTTGGTTTGTTTGTTGGAAAAAAAAGAAATGTTTTATTTTAATGAAGGCATATTAATCAACTACCTTTAATTTTCATACTAAAATGTTGTAACATGATCAATTTATAGATTGCCCTATGGAATTTTGTTATTTATAGAAGTCTGTAAAGCCCATCGTCACTAGTACTCTTTGCATCCTGGTAGTTCTGTATTCATTGATGATTTTTATGTATCATTTGATATTCATTTATTTTTAATGTTTATTTGCAGACAGTTGAGTTGAGTGGAAATAACTAGGCTTTTAAAAGAATTACTAAGAAATCAGGTGTCCTCAGAGGTTATAATTGAATGAAATGGTTCTTGTAGAGGTGTTTGACACTTCTGTAGTTCAGTAGTTTTTTGACATGATGTAATGTTGATTTTATTTCTCCAAGGGGACTCCAGGATATATGTAGACATAGAAACTTGTTAAATCTTTAGAATATTTTCTGAATAGGCTTAAATATTCCATAAAACAGAAGTATTGATAAATTTGTTACATCTGAATATAATTTTTCTATTTTTAATAGGATACAACATCTATTGAAAAGATGTCAAACTGTTGTGAAGAAATGTAAGTATGAAGTCTATAGTGATCTTACTTAAAATAAAAACAACTTAGAACCTTTGAGAATTGTGTGCATATGTTAATAGTAGGAAACTAATATAATAATGACTTTTTCTTGGTGCCCTGTCTGAGGCCCAAGCTAGACAGGCGTATCCCAGTCTTACAGTAGGGGTCTTTCAGCCATCAGAGTTTTTAAATACAATAAGTACTGATCACTCTTGTTTCCTGTCTCTCAGAAGTAAGTTAAATTATTTGTCCCGAAAGTACATCAAAAGAGATTTGCTACTGTGTTGTTGACACACATTCTGTTATGCTGAGCTCCTCCTCTGCTTCCAGAGTTACCCTGGGTTGATTGACGACGCAGATACAATATCTGCTATCTAGAGCTGAAGTTCAGCTGCATGCCACATTGAAAGAAAAGCTGTATTTGTAATGCTGGGACACAATGCATCAGAGTCCAGTAATGGATCCCCAGCCAACCTGTATTGTTTCAGCTGACTGAAGTGCACCATGGGAGTGCTGTCTCTCACTAATAATGCTGTCTTCTGTAGATCGCGGCCCCGGAAGCCATGGCAGCAGACCTTCTCAGAGGTTTTTGGCACTCGTTGGAAGATCCTGTGGTTCATTCCTTTCAGGCAGAGGCAACCACTGCGCGTTCCCTACCACTTTGCCAATCACGTCTAACAGATGGATGGTGGGCACAGATGGGTCCTCCATGCTGGAAATGCGTTACAGGTTTTATGAGAATAGAACTATGACAGTCTTCAAGTCAATTAAAATCCACCCACCAATCTTAGGCATCATAATGTGCCCCAGGCTTTATTTTAATAGTGATCTTGATCCTGTTGTGGGACTAATACAAGATCTATATTTAAGTTTTAAAAGCATGTTTACTTTCAAATTAGCCTTCCACTAGGATTTCTTTAAATGCTTTTGTTACTAAACTCAAAAGGCAGTGATTCGGATGAAATAATTGTACATAAATTTCCTTCAGTACTCACAGTATCTTAAATTTTAATTTATAGGAAATTTGAGATGTTTAATGTTTACCTTTAAGCAGTACTAACCAAATTTGAATTTAATTCTTCAGGTTTACAAAACTTGGTACACTTTCTTATGTGTAAATTTTCTTTTTTGAATATGTTAAAATTCTTTTCACTACGTCCTTTTCTAGTGCAGCAGGTTTTAACATGCAGTGTAGGGTGAACAACCAAGGGCAGTGCTGGCCGAGGAGCAGCCCTCTGAGCCTGCCTTCTTTCCTGCTCATCAGAAGCGAAGTAAGGTACACGAGTAATGCCCCAACTGCTACCTTATTATAAAGGAGAACTTAGCTGTCCTTTCCGCTGCGATCAGTGATTGTTATAGAATGTTTGCCCCAGGAAAAATTAGTGACCAGTCAAGCATATATTCCTATTTTGCCCTAAGATTCTAAAGACTGAAAAGAATAGGAAGTTTGCAATAATTCCAGTTACTTCTTCAAGTGCAGTTATATCAGAATGCAGATGTTTTAAAATGCTAATATAACTGGATGGTGTGTAATACACAGTATACAAAGGAATACTGTGTTTTAAAGTATGTATATTTTTACTTACCTGCCAGTATATCTCACTATACACATTGATGGTTTATATATTATATAATAGATACTGGTCAACTCAGATCAAACTTTAAAAGTAGGTCATTAACTTTATATATCAGTAATCACCCAGGTTGAAATTGAATTTCCATTGCCCAGTTATGATTTACATCACTCTAGAGACCTTGTATTAATAACTGATGCCAGGAAATTATCTTAAAGAAGAATGGTCCATGGTAGTGATGGTCCTTGACATGGAGCCTTTTTGTATTTGAAGACATTTTGTATAATTTAATTTTTTCATTTAGAACACTGCAAATCCATATGTTTGAAAAGTGTGTGTGCTAGTGATCTTTCCCCTGAAAATAATAGTGAAGAAACCTACTACTCCTGAACCATATACATACTTTTCTTAAGGTCGTTGTAAAGTACAGAATCATAGCTGGGAAATGCTGAGACAGAGATTATTATTGTTAGCCAGTCAGCTGTACTGTGGCTAGTTCTTTCAGATACTGTAAATGTCTTATAAAATATTCTGAAGTAATAGAATAAGCTCTTTTCAGAAATATTAATGCCATATTTTCATGTTCTAATTATGTTTATTATTTAAAGTCTTAGAAGTGGCAGATGAAAATATTTATTGGTGCTAAGACATTTAGTAAGTTTAATATAAGAAACATTTATAAAGGTTAGGAAACATAAAATTAGTATGTTTATTTTAAGAAAAGGGGTTGGATTTTGTGCAAGCTGATTGACTAAATTGGCTGATGACAGATTCTAAAAGGAAGTGGTGTATATATAATGTAGGGAGATACAAGTTGATGCCTTCAGCTGTATATATTCTATTCACATAAGACCTGGAGCATCCATAGCAGAGCCAAATAAAGGCCTGGTATGGAGCTTTGTAGACTTGCTTATATTCTGGAGTAGCAGTAGCTCTGACACAAGGTAATGGGAATGGTCTCTTTCCCATGCTGAGGATTTGTGGGTATGGTTTTCTTAGGTTTACCACTTCTAAGGCACATTCTCTTCCCTTTGTCTTTACTCTCCCGGGTCCTGATCCTCTCCACAGTTTCTTTGAGTCATTGGACTACAAACTAATGCACTAGTTTGAGCTACAGAAATGCTACTGTCAATGTATTTACATAATCTATATTGCAGTATATCTATATATACTTATGCAGTATTGTCAAATGTATGTCTAACCCCACGAGGGGTTTGTAATCACTGTTAGATTCCTGGAGAAATGCCTATTGGCCATTTCCTAGGGATTAAGCTCCTATGTTCTTTCTGCGCCCTCTTTTGGCTAATTGATGTAATTATACTGGCTCTAGGCTTTCACTGTCCCATTAGTGGGTTGTATCTCCAATTTGTGAACATGTCAGAGGTACACACTTATGGGAATATATGTAGAAAAGTGTAAAATTTTATGAAAATTGAAAATGAATGTGTTACTGTTGGTGATGCTCCTTCTAGGTAAATTGCTTGGCTTCATGTATGTGTATTCTTGTACACTTTACTGTCAATCACAAATTTAGATTAGGATAAGCTATTTCATATTTTACTTTAAACCTTATTTTGGTAATTTAATTTGTTATCATTATGAAGACTTACTTTAAAATTACTATTTTATTACAGAACAAAACATTTATTACAATTGCTGTGGCAACCATGTTATCCAGTGTGTTTTACTGAATATCTAAAAAATACATTTAATTTTTCAGTTCAGTTTTGGAATGGTCTCACACATACACAGACTCAATTGCCTTAAAATAATTAATAATTGATTAATAATACTATTTTTTCTTTGCTTTTTAAGAAACCTTCTCAGTCAGTTAAACCTGTAGATTCCATAGTTGCCTCCCTCGTCACTCTGAATAGCCCTGGGAATGACTGCATGTGTGGCGTGCTGGAAAGCAACTAGCAGTGAGATTGCCTTTCAGTCTGTATATTATGTTGAAGTATTTATTTATAAGTTTCCCATTTAAGTTTAGCAAAATATGTGTTAAATGATATTTTTCCATTAGCAGAATCATTTCTTGGGCTTCTGGAGTTAAATTTTATTACTAGGCTGCAGTTACACTTGGTAAACAATTAGGGTTGGGCCTGCAAGGTGGCTCAGCACAGAAAGGCATTTGCTGTGCAAGACTGGTGACCAGATTGTTTCCAGAACCCATTTAAAGGTGAAGGTAAGAAAAAACAAAACAAAAACCAAACCTGACTCCACAGAGTTGTTCTCTGACCTCTGTGCACATGCCTTGGCACACAGGCTCCCTCCCCAGCATCATGCTTGTGTGCTCGTGCGCTCTCTCTCACACACACACAATTTTTAAAACTTTAATTAGATAAGTTTAATGTAGGCAACAATGGACTTAGTTCCGAGTCTCCTAAACATTAAGTGATCTATTAAAGAGTCTTGGTACTTTGTAACCAGACTTGTTTCAAATTACTAAGCTAGCTGATGTTACATGAAAATAAAAACACTATTTTGTTTAAAAATTGTTTTAAAATATTTTAGTTAACATAAAAGAGCCATTTACAATTGTAGCTAACATAGTAACTCTGTTCCGGAAGAGAGTTTACTTAATAGTAATAAAGTAGGGGCTGGATGTACCTCAGTGACATACACAAGAGGCCCTGGTTCAAGCCCAGGAGGAGAAAGGGAGAGATGTAGAGGAAGTGAGGCAGCCATCTCCACTAACACTAGAACATCTCACTAATGTGGAGAGGTGGCTCCAGTAAGGATGGTAGCTCATTCTAACCAGTCTTAATCGACTTCAAGTTACTTCCAAACAGGTAACTGTTTTGTGTAAAGGATGTGTTAATTCTAAACACTAATCACAAAGATCCAAATTATGAGCACACTTCTCAACAGGAAGTACCAATGAATTTAGATGAAAGCCACGTAGTTTCCTATGTTAGATCATAGGTAGTTTGAATGTTCTTACATGTATTGCTAAAAATCACAACCTGTCTTGCAGTGGCTTAATATGGCACTAATATTCATTCACATTTGCTGATTTTTGTCTAGACTGTCTGTTCTCTGGCTAGTTAGTGCTCTTGTATGTCATGTGTCCGATAACCTAGCTACAGTTCACTAAACTATAGAAGTTCATTATGTAAATTTTGACATGAACTCTACTACATAGATATATTGGGAATTTATTACAAACATTATGTAATTTACTAATAGTTAAAACATTAGACTTTCATCCACCTCTATTAATGCTTTGAAAATTACAAGTATTGGCAAATGTAGATAGTAAGTCCTATAAACTTAGTGTGTTCTACTTGCTAGTATTATTGACCATATAGTTAACTAATGAGTGAGTATATGATTCAGTACCCACATCTGTTGCCTCTTGTTGTAGGTACCATGCTCAGAATTTATCTACAAATACAGATTTTAGGATAGTTATGTTTAGCTGTTCTTAGATTCTACAGTACTCTATAGCAGATGTGGGGAAAGATAGAAGCTGTTTACTTGAAGTATTTTATACCAGTATTGTCATTGACCAGAGGAACCAATATTTAGCATTTATGCTGCCTTTGTGATGGTTTAACTTCAAGAAGTGACTTTTCTCACTTCCCTTGTCTTTCTGCTTTTTTTAAAAACAAAATTTATTTTTAAAAGCCATTTTGTTAAAACCAAATAACATTTTTATCAGTTCTTTAGATGTGGCAATATTATCTGCTAGTGATAATTTGAAACAAATTATTATTATTATTTGAAGACAGTGTTTCACTGGCTTTGAACTCAGAATCCTCCTACCTTTGCCTCCCAAGTTCTAGGGTTACAGTCATATGCTGCTATGTTTGGCTTAATGCTTAACATTCTTGAGTCGTTGGTATTACTGATGCCATTATCATATCTTTTACTATATTGTTGTTTTTCCTCCTCGCATACCCTAGAGTTCAGGTACCAATGAGCAGCAAATAGCCAAAAATTGGATAAAGAAAGTAGGAACATTAGTAAGATAGAGAGAAGGCTGAATGGACATGAATAATCAGCCTCTCTGCAAAAGAGTTGACTAGGCCTGGGACTGGGATATCAGAGACTCCCCTTGCCATCTCCTGGTCCCCGGCTAGCACTGTTTACTGTAAGAGTCTTTGGTTCTGGAAAGCATCTGCTCTGACTTATTTCATCTCCACTTAATTGGTCTTTCTCTTCAGCTGGCCAGATGCTCTTGAGAGATGGTTTTTAATTTTAGAGAATTGTGTAGGATATGTTAACCTGCATCGTTTTTAACATGCACATGTTAAAAATAACATGGAAGTGCAGCTGTGTAATACAGAGGAGAAATCATAGGTTGCCCGAAGTTTGAGAAAACAGGAACCTATTTTAGCAGTCTCTTAGGGCAAAAAAGAACACTGAGTCACCAGAGAAAATCAACAGTTGAGGTATGAAGGATGGTTTACACTTTAAAGATTGGGGTCTTCTGCTGTTCTTAAGACCCTGGAGGTCTTTGTTTCTGTTGGCATTTTTAATTCATTACCTCGTGTGTGTGCTGGTAGTGCTTCCCACACTTGCTCAACTGTATAATTAACTAATTACACACATATAACATATTTTTCATCTCAGAAGCTTTATATGTAAAGATGTAGCCCAAACTGCCATAACCAGGCCATCTCCTTTTGTAGCTTTGCTTGCCCTTTTCACTCAGCACGGTGTCTGATCGTTTGTAGGCTGTCCGTTAAGAGGGAAGATTGTGTGCGTACTGTGAGCTTTGTGTCCGAGCCAGTGTGGATGGATGGTGTTCTAACCTACTGGTGCCTGAAGCTTGTGTTTTACAACCTGAGCAACTAAAACATCCTGGTGCTATTCACTTTAGCTTTGAGTTACAGTCTTAATTCTTGAACCAAAGAGTTAATTTTCTTTTTGGTTGGCTGGAAGTTAGCTTCTCACATCTATGTCTGAAGAAGTGAACAGCTGATGGAACTTTCTTTCTCTGTGTGCTAGCTTGGCAGAGTCAGTTGAAAATGATTGTTATTTAGACTTAGTTTTTATTCTGTTATGCAGAATGGTGTGGGTTTTAATTTTGTATTTTAATATAGTGTGGCTACTTTATAAGGTCTTTTAATAGCTGAAGCTACTAAAATTCTCGAATCACTTTTCCCCTTGGTTTCACTTTGGCAGAGAAGAAAAACATTATTTCTATAAGCAAAGCATTCTATTAGACACAAATGCTGAAAGAAAGGACAAATAATGGTCCATTTTTAATTACAAGTCAAGCATTTAGCATTTCTCTCTATGTGGATATAATCCTTAATGACTTAAAGAATGGTATAGCTATTTGCCTGTGTTTGAAAATAAGATGAAATTAAAGGACACTTTAAAAAATATAAGTCATATACACACTTTCCCAATAGGAAATGCAAAAGTACCTTGACTTGAGCAAACATCCTAACAGAAGTTGAGCTTTATAACAGAAGCAGTCTGGATGCTGCTGCTTACGTGGAAGTTAGAGTGAGATTGTTTTACAAACGAATTTTTTTAGTGATTCATTTCACATGACTGGCAGAACACAGTCCTACGGATGGACTTGTCTGGGGTAATACTGCTGCATGTGATTGGTGTCCCTGTTCTTCCCCAGAAACTCTACAGACACTCATCATTGTCTCCTTAAAACTGAAGCTGAGTGACTGACAACAACTCAGGCCAGGAAGTGACAGAGCAGGCGGCTGGGAAAGTCGACAGTCTCACTGACAATGCTGTGTTGTTTCCATCGGCTTCAGTCTGTATCTCCTTAATGTTGATCCAGTATGTGGTTTGGCAGTGAATTCCGAATGGAAAAAAGAATCAAGTCTAAAACTTGAGAGGTGATGAACTCATGTGCATGAAGTATGTCTAGATGAGCAGATAAGAGAGGAAGCAGGGCCTGGGTGGGGAGGGTGGCACTGTGTCCCTTGTGAGTTGTGTCGCCACTGGATTGACTCTTAAGAATCCTACTGCTTGTCCATTGTTCAAAAGGCAGAATGTAGTAATGTTTCCCAAGTTGTAGATAGGAACAAATTTACCACTGCTTTCTGTGTCTTGGTGTGATTATTAAAAAGCAAAGAAAAAATTAATATAGATAGAAAAAATCAACTGAAGGTAAAAAAGGAAGAAATTCCACCCCAATCAGAGGTATTTAAATCAATGGGTTGTGAGCCCAAGGACAGAAGAGGCTCTTGGGAAAACAGAGTTCGTGGACCATGATAGATGAGCACACTCTGGCAAGTGCAATCACCACCCAACACCTGTGTCATTTTGAGACTCCTAAAATTTGATGTCAGCCCCAATTCTCACATATTCCTAATGAAAGACCCTTCCTGAGTTTTAGTAATGGTATTCCTGTAGGTGTCTAGGAAGACCCTGTCTTTAGTAATGGTATTCCTGTAGCTGTCTAGGAAGACCCTGTCTTTAGTAATGGTACTCCTGTAGGTGTCTAGGAAGACCCTGTCTGGAAGCTTGCCGTGTGCTGCTCATGCAGCTGTAGTGTGGGGGAGTCCGCGGGCGATTGCCTGCCTCGTCTGCTGTTTTGCTTTGTCTTACCCTAAGAAAATCTTCACTAACATCCGAGTGTAATGAGGAGGAGGAGGAGGGTGCGTAAGAGAAGCGAGAGTGCTTCGAGGAGAGGGAGGATGCTGAGAGGTGGGAACCATGGGATACCCTCATTTGTCTACATGAGAAGTCCACACTGGTTCTTGGAGGGAAGACGAACTGTGTATCTACCTTAAGAACAACATTGCTCTTAATTTATTTTAGTGATTTGTTTTATTCATGTAATGTTCTATTTTCTTTGCAAATTGCTTTTAATTTAAATTGTGGAATTTTTACTTCTCTTGAGATGTACTATGTACTGTATTTTTAGAAATCTTATTTTTAAATAAATATTTTTGAAAAACATTGGAGTGTTTTTATCCCCTTACCTCCTTATTTATTAAAATCTACCCAAATTCTGGATTTTAGAACTACCATGTTTTAAGAATCCTCCCTTCCAACACGTTGTGCCATTTAAATGAATATTTAAAGTTAGTGGCCCTTGGCTGTTCTTCTACCACAGTCACAGAACTCATTTCATAATCAGGAAGAACGAGCTGGACATAGTGGACTCCAGTGTCAGAAGTCCTAGGTAGGCAGATTAACTCGTCTAGAGATCAGACTGCTCCATTCAGCTGTGCAGTGTGGCTGCATTATGGTAGGTGCTGTTTGACGGAAATACTTGTCTTGCACACAGTCAACTGTAGTTTTAGTCTAGATGCCGCTTTACATCTGAGGTTTGGAGTTACAGAATGTGCTTAGGACATTACTTTATACAGACTTTAAGGGCTTTTATGGACGAGCCTCCAAGCCTCAAGACACTGCTTGCTGTGAACACAGTGTATTAGTGAGAATGAGCTGAGCACCAATGGGTCAGGGCCACACAGGTGACCTGTCAGGTTGCCCTGGGGATAAAAGAATGAATAACTTTTATCCTTTGATATCCTTACATTTTTTTTAACAGAAAAGCAATTTTGATAAATACTCTGTATTAACATGACTTGTAGATGAGACTGTAAATTTTGTTGTTTGGTGAACCAAAGCACTCATTGCCTTCTGACAATTTCAGATACTATAAAACTTCTACCTGGTTCTTTTCACATTTTTTTTTTCTAATTCTAGGTGGCATATGCTCAGTGGGGATACATTACAATAATTTTCATGTTTTAGCCTCAGGCCTCCTCAATATTCATAAAAATTATTGCAGATATTGGCATTTTTAACATGTTATCTTTATTGATATTTACTGTACCCTAATTTTAAGGGGGGGCTAGGAAGATGGGTCCACAGTCAAGAGTGTTTGTTGTCCTTGAAGAGGACCTGAATTTGGTTCCCAGCATCCACATCAGGCAACTAATAACCAGGACTCCATCTCCTGGGGATCTGATGCCCTCCTCTGCCGTCTGCAGCTGCCTGTACCCAATTGTGCATGCCTACACACAGAACAGACAGACACACACAAAAATGACAAGAGGGAAAATTAGATTGTATGTATTTAAACATAAGCTCACCATGAATTAACAATTTTAATTAGGATTTCTGTGAAACAAAGCTGCCTTCACAGAAGAAGGTTGGTTTCACATTGCTTTATGATTTAATCAGCTCCCTTGTTACCCTGAAGTCTGAAGATATTTGGTCTTGTGCAGAGAACGTGGTTGGAGAAGGAAGGGATATTTTACCAGCCTCTTCAAGTAACTGATTATTCTTTTGTATGAGACAAAAACATAAGTGTGTCCCGGGGATGATGGCAGTCACCAAGTGACAACTAGTGCTGGTGTGGATGTGGGAACAGAAGAAGCCTTATATCCCATGGCTGAGAATGTAAACTGTTGCAGCAACTTTGGAAATCAGTCTGGAAGTTTCTCAAAAAACAAGAAATAAAACTACCATATGACCCAGCTACAGTATGTACCCAAAAAACTGTCACACTCCAGAGATGCCTGTATATCAATGATGCTTATTGCTGTAGTCCAGATACGTAGGCAGAGGAAACAACTTAGCTGTCTACCAACTTACGAATAACAAAAGTGTACATATGCACAATGTAGTTTCATTCACCTGTAAAGAAAAATGAAATGTTTGGATAAATGGAAGAAACTAGAAGAAAAAGAAAAAAGCACACTTGTTGAGGCAAACCAGTCACAGAAGGACAAATGCAAACTCTCGCATGGATTAGGTCTAACATGTGGAGTCCAAGAAACTAGGAAACAGAACGTGGGGCAGGGGTTCTGGATAGGAGAGATGTGAGACACAGAAAGGAAAATAGAGGAGGGGAACATTAGGGTTGAAAGGTCTAAGCAGGGAAGAAGGTGGGAGGAGTGGGGGAGCTAGAGAGGCAGTGAGGAGGATTAACCCAAGTTAACAGTAAATAGAAAACCATGTGGAAACCTATTGTGTTATAATTCAAGAAAAAAAAAAGTTGAAGCAAGTTACCCTACATATCTGATAAACCTACTTCTAAAAGCAGTGGGTTACTAAACAACCAGACACCTTCACAGGAGCTGGTCGGAGGTCCCAAAGGGTCCCAAAATAATGAAGCCCTTGTCTGTCTGGATTGCTCCCTAGAACTAGAGGCTAAGACACCTTCACAGGAGCTGGTCGGAGGTCCCAAAGGATCCCAAAATAATGAAGCCCTTGCCTGTCTGGATTGCTCCCTAGAACTAGAGGCTAAGACACCTTCACAGGAGCTGGTCGGAGGTCCCAAAGGATCCCAAAATAATGAAGCCCTTGTCTGTCTGGATTGCTCCCTAGAACGAGAGGCTAAGACTATTGCTGAAGGTACCATGCACCTCCGTTACAGATACAGAGAAAGCAAGTTGGAACTAAGCTGAAAGCTTCCTCCTGCTGGTTAGTTTTCACAGTGTTTGGTGACATGTAGGCTCCTGGGGGTAGGGTGGGGAGGCATCAATGGTCTCACCCAGTTGTGAACCACTAAACCAGTGTACTAGGCAAGATATGCCTACCTGTACAGTGGTGGCACAACCATTGTGAGCGTAACCAACTGCCTGCTGTATGTGTTTAAGGCCCACCCCACAGAGGTTAACAACCTATGCCTGGGGAAGCCATAAGTCTAAAGAAGAAACTACTATTATCTAACCCGATTGACATAGCATCCAACTGCTGTCCAAGTATCTGTTTATAGAGATAGACAAAAGTGAACAACAGTGAATGCAGAGACTCAAGGCTGCCCAAGATCCCGAGCAAAAGTGACAAGTTAGGGCTAAAATCACCCCAGCTAAGGCTCATTGCAGAAGAGGGAGAAGAAAATGTGTAAGAGCCAAAGTCAGTGTGGAATGCCTTCCTCCAGATTCATGCAACCGTTGTAACCATGAACTCAAAATTGTGGTTACCTGCACTGCACCACACAAGACTGGCCTTGTCAAGAATCTGAAATGGAAGGGAGAGGAGCCATGGGGCCCTACTCTTCAGTGCTGAACTATTTGTAGATTCTGGGAGAGGGGGAGTCATTGACTTCAGATATGTGCCCGTGCTGAGTCTGCCCGGCTCAAATAGACAGCTCCAAACCCCCATCACACAGGTGGCCTCTGGTTAAATTGAATGTGAGGAAGAGGTTTGTAGGGAAGGATGAAGATAAACGGAGTGGGGAGGTGGGAGAGGGTGGGGTTTGGGAGTGGTCAGCATGCATCATGTATGTGTGTCAAAGAATTGTCAAAGAATGAATTTAATAAACTCATACATAATCCATACATAATAGTTTCTTATAATACTCATTAAAATCCATTGGTCTTATTCTCTCTGAATGTTCATCATATAAGATAAAATTGACTGGTGTCACCATGGTTCTTGAGGAAACTGAGGAATTCTGGAAGCTGCTGAGCTCCCTGGTGGGTGTAGAAAGCTTGAGTATTAGCCTTGGTAGCCTTCCGGGACCATTTAACCTTCACTTGTATTTGAGAAAATGCCCACTACCCAGGTACAAAAACAGCCGAGTTCTCCAGTTAGTCAAGTGTTCAGGGTGTTTGGTCAGCTCAGCCTGCAGTAACACTAGCGCTTTCCTCAAGAGTGAGCAGCCATGTTCGCTAATTCACCCGAAGGGAGTGCTTTCTATGTATCACCCATCTCGTTGGGGTTGAGAATGTACTCTCGATGGAGACTTGATATGGTGAATGAGTTTTTTTTTTTCATCATCAAGGGCATTATTAAATAAACTGGCTCACTACTACTTTTTTTTTATTTTTTAGCCAGACTGTTCAAATCTAATTCTTTCGACTGTTTGGGGAGGAGAGTGGTGGCAGACGATAGAAGAGGAAATATGTATTTGAGTCTTGATTTCATTTGCTCTGTATTTCATCATGACAAGAAACACTGGCTGCTGAAAGATAGTGCAGCTTTTGAGCACTTAAAAGTACACTCTCCCTTACAAACCCACACTAGTTAGCCTTATTATAAAGACAAGAGCTGAAGATTCGTGCTAGTTCTCTAAGACAGCAGAGTCATCCGGGAAGCTGCCAGACTGCAGATGAGCGAATGCATTCGAATGCTGCTCTAGGCTGACCAATTACCCATAGAGCAGCGATTATATTAGCGTGCAAGGGCAATTGGAGGGGAAATTGGACCCCGTGGACATCCAGCTGAGCAAACAGCACTGAGGAAGGAGAGAGGATATGTGCTTGAAAAAACGCGACATCCCAGCTTACTTATAAAAACATTTGTCTCAGTCACAGCACATTCTTTGTGTGGCCTCTCATGTATAGTGCTTTTCCAATCAGTCCTTGTCCACAAATGAACAGTGCCTTCTCTTCAAGATCAAATACCGAGTAGTAACCAATTTTTTTGGTAAAAATGCCAAAAACATCCAGAACAAGGAAGTTGGAGTATCCACATCCAGACGTTTGGATGGTACTCTGGCCATGCATGTGACTCCCTAGTCAGTCTAACTGCGGCACAGCCTGAAAGCTATCCTCAGCACTGAAATTCATAATGCTGTAAAGCTAGATGGGTTCCTGAGATCTAATGTGATGATTTTTGGCAAAACCTGAATATTTGAGGGTAATACGATGTGGATGCTTTCTAAGTCCATGTGGGAACTCTGGGTGTGTAATTCTTTGGTAAGCAGTGATCACGAGGTTATTGGCATGTTCTCTAAATGGGTAAACTGTGGAGTTGTAGGGCAAATACTTCATTTAGTCGAACAGTTTTATATTTTGTTGCGATCTGGAAGCTACCAACACAGATCTTTTTTGAGGGATTGTCTGCTTGTTATAACTTGGTGTCTGACTTTGTTGATGAGTGTTTAAAGCTTTTCAGATATTCTCAACATGGAAAAAGCCCCTTGGTGTGGAAAAATGACAATCCACTTCAGACAGTATTATGAAATCTGCTAGTTTTTGTCATTTATTTTCCTT